GTTCCTCGTTTTGTAACTCACATATCCGCTTCTCTTTCGCTTTCACCCCCGCACCCCACCCCTTCCCCGCCCCTTCCGCTTTGCCCTCCTGCTGACTTTAAATACTACCTCATTAAGTGCCATTAATCATTGTGATCAAAATACCGTTCAGTGGCATCAAAAATCTCCTCCCAGCTAATCTGAGTTGTTGAAATGTCGATGCGGTAAAACGCCGTGCATTGCTTACCGTTATGTTTCGATCGATTTTTTGCTGCAGTATGTTTCGGTGCACGTAAATGGCGGACAGGCGATGACATTTGCTGGTTCCACTGACCCATGTGCAGTGTGCGTCCTGAAATCGATTGGTTGTGTTGGTGGCAATGTCAACAATTCGCATGCCGAGAAACTTTACAAGCTGCTCAACGAGGAGCTCAAAATTCCAAAAAATCGGTAAATTTTCAAAAAACAATCAATTTTTTAGAACCTTTTGTTTGGAAAACAAATATTTTCTCGTAGTTGAAATGGGTTTTGTTGCTTTAGTGTGTGTTACATTCGGTACCCCTCACTTTACACATATTTCTTTCGTCCCTTTCGCATTGCTTAGCGCAGTGTAATGACCAGGACATATTGCTCGCCTTGCTTACAACTGGTGGATTTGTTTTTATTAAGGGTTGAAGAGAAAATAATGAAGTAGAAAAGATGAGGAAGGGAAGATAACAAAGAAAAAGTGAAGAAGGGGAAAGGGGACTAAGGAAATATTTATAATTGGTAAGAAATGTTTCGGTTCATTAAGTCATATACATTTCTTACCGTTACCACAATTGCATCTCGTCAGTATGACGATTGCGGTAACAGAATAATTTAGATGGTTTAGTATAAAAATTATTTAAGATAAAAACAGACAAGAAAGAGAAGAAATAGAAGTAAAGGACGAAAAGTGAGGAAATGAAAGAAGTGGAAAAGTTATATAAATTCTAAATTCCCGATATAGGCATGGAAATTTTGGTGGGTCAGCCTAATTCTGCCACACATCTGTCAACTTTTCTGTTTGCTCTGATCAGCATTGCGGTTTTTGTTTGTCGTACTTCTGTTGTTTTTGATGTTCGGGTTTTTTAATGAAGGAATTACCACCGCAAGTGTTCTCTGGGCAGAAGTTTGAAAAACTTCAGACGTTACAAGATATTGAGCTTCACCATCTCTCCTTGAACGTTAACACTGCTTGATTAGAATAAGATATCATACCGTCCATGAACTCTTTCCATCTATCATCGTAAAGGGAATCCACTCGCAGCAACCTGATTTTAGGATGGTTTTGGTGTTTTTTAATCCACTTGACGCCCAGATGTTTTGCTTTAGTTTTAATTTTTCTCAAAGTTACGTTGTAATTTTGCAGCTGTTACATTGAATTCGTCGATATAGATGCATCAGCGATGGCCTATAATGGACATACATTTGGATAAATCGCATTTGATCAGACGCTCTTATTTTACGGAAAAGATATGACGAAAATTAGCTTGTTTTCTGTTTTCCCCTGCGCATGTTGTGACCATTAAACTTTTTTTTTG